TGGACCCTGGTGACAGACTGCTCTCTCCTACTGCTATACAGATCAAGGCAAACTAGGACACATCCTGACTGAGTTGAGGCCCAGCCTCTGAGTGAGGTGTAGACATGCTCTGACTCTCCCTGCCTTTGCCCCCTCTCTGGCCTGCAGAAGGGAACCAGCTTTCACCTGCAGGCAGCACATGAACACGTTGCCAGTGCGCCTTGCATCAGCCCTGGAGAGCCATGTTCACTCCTGGGGGTCAGCCTCAACACAATCTCAGCAGTCAGATCTGAGTCCCTTCTCACAGTTATATCCTGCATCACTACATTTCTTTTGTTTAAAACCATATCCTGCTTTGCTGCTGGATAGAGCTGTTGTTTGCTGTGAGACAGCCTCCAAGTACCAGTCTAGAAGTGGACGACGATGAAAGCAGTGGCAATGCAGATTCTTATATATCTATGGTTTCTAAAGCTCTTTGACACCTCCATGGATGCAAAACATGCCCAGGAGCACAGGATATTTAGTATTTCTGACTGCTCTTGACCTGCCTGTCTCTGCTGCTGTCCTGAGTTAGGAGGTTTAGGTAAAAAGACAGCAGAGTATATGAAGCAAGCAAACAGAGCAAGCCAGGCTTTGCAGCCTTGAAATAATTTGCTAGTGAATGGAAATGCTGAATGAAAACAGAAGCTTTTGCCTAAATCTGAGAACTCTGGAAAAGCTCCCTCTTTTATTATGAAGGAAAATCCTCACTGGAGTGTTTTAGTTAGAAAACAAGCTATCACAAAAGAAATGTTAAGAGCCCTAAGCTCCCCTCTCTCCCATGATGTCAACTGTCAGAGACATCAATGGTAGCTCAGCTGTGTGATCAAAGGCTTCAGCGGCCAGATTAAAAGACAGAATTACCAGAAAATTGAGCGTTGGAAGGGCGTGCGGGGAGTGTGATTGTCACCTGTTTATAAATGCATCTTATGGGGTGAACCAATTACTTTATGATGCTGTACTGCAGGAACGAGGGCACCTGGATCTTCGCATTGTGACACTGACCAGATGGGGGATAGTCGTGGTACCTTCAAAACCGCATGACGCATCACTGCCGCTTGATGCCTTGCTATACATGTAAATTCCTATGACAGAAATCTCTAGAGATGGGATTAGCTGACCATCGTGCTGAAACTCGTGCAAGCACATCTATGATGGCCTTCACCCAAAGAGTTTATAATTTAAAAGCATTAGGGCAGAGAAAGCAGTGGGGAAGGAGGGAAGCCAGCTACCTTTCCATGCCACGTCAGTCTCCAACCAGCCCAACAGTCCCTATAAGCTGTAGGAGACTCGAGGTGGTGCCAGGATCTCATCCTGAAAGTAAGCAGGGTCACTTAATCCCACACACCTCTACAACTCCACGTAACTGAAATCAACTAATATAAGACCATGATCTTAGCTGCACAGAAAGTGCTTTAAAGGTGCCCCAAGAACAGCTTGTGATCCCATGTATCTCTCCATGCATAAAACACTCCAGAACAGAGACTACCATTTATTAGACATTTGTACAGCACTCAGAAACATGGGCCACCAACTGAGCCAAGGCCTTTAGGAGTTACTGTTGTCTAAACATTAAATCAACAATGGTATTAATCTAAGCCACAATACCTAAGCACAGTGAGTGATGGTAGATAGAGCACCACAACTATCAATTTCCTGGCCTCAGAGATTTTTTCTTTCCATTTAAATAAGAGCTTTTTTTTTTAGTCTGTGTAATTTAATTTATTTTTTTTAATACAGAATTAGATATTACTGCCTGATGGAAAAAAAAAAAAAAGAAATTTGGCAGGCAATCAAAGCCATATTTTAACCATTGAAGCACATGAAAGGCATCTGAAACAACAACAACAAAGAACAAGGAACTATTTGTCAATGCTGTTTGGTCATTGGGGAAGCTTAGGGGAGGAGACTGATACTGTTTGTTTAAAACAAGCAAACAAAAACCTGACAGACAGACCATTTATCTATATAGTGCTTGATTTTCAAATACTAGGGTAGGGAATACATTCTAACTTGCTTTCTAAAAAAAAGTGCTGACACACTCAGTTATGGCACTTCCAGTCCTTGGGGTGGAGGCTGCCGTTTGCATGGAGGACCCTCCACAGTAGAGGGATGCATGCTGGATCAGAAGCGACAAGCCAGCAGGTTGTCCCAGTCCCTTGGCAATCCCCTTCCTACTCGCAGTAGCACAGGACCTGCCCCTCCCAGCCCAGCCTCATCTGGCTTCAGCCCCTTCCGCTCCAGACGAAGGCAGAGGAAGAAGGCAGGCCTTTCTTCTTACGACGCAGACAAGCAGAGGAGCAGCGCTCCCAGCAGCCGCGACTCTGCGACTGATGTGCAGAACAGGCTACCTGTGCTTCCCAATGAGCAAAGTCAATTCAGGGTGGACCAAGAGCTCCTACATTCACAGCGGCCCGGTGAGACCCCAAGGAGCATAGCAGCATGCTTACACGACCCAGGCGTTGCCTATGTCTGGATGCACCTGCACGCTCCCATTCTGGACGCCGACACAGAGCACACCTCCTGCACTCATCAGGACAGCGTGAAGGACTACCCCGCCTGGCCATCGGCATCTGAAATCCCACATGCCATGCTCCTGGCAGAGGAGCCTCCTTTCCAGAGGAAGGGGGCAATTGGTCTGCAAAAGCACTATAGCGACTGTCCCTGTAGGATGAACACGCATCTGGCCTCTTTCTAGCATCCAGCCACCCACTAGCTGTGGCAAGCATATCCTCACCAAATCCCTTTACAGATAGAAAAATATCATCAACTTCATTGTACAAATGAGACCCACAGAGATGATATGACATGCCTAGCATAACACTGGAGGCTTGTCACAGAGACTGAGAGCCTACCTGCATTTCCCACAGCCCTCGCATAGGACCTCAGCAGTGGGATTGCCACAACGTGTCATACCATGTGCATTTGGGAAACGCTTGAACCACTGACTTACTAGAATAGGACTCATATTTGGCTTGGAAAAAAAAAGACTGTTAGTTATACTGCACCTTTTACCTAGAGCTCCATACCTATTCCCATTCAAGCCTCTTCTTCCTCACCTCGTTACTTTTTATTTACCTAGTACCTTTTTGTTTACAATGGGAGAGCGACTTACTTGACCGCAATCTTGTTATAGGCTACTGGCATAATTGAGGACTCCTGTGCTGCTCTTGTTCTTCCCTAACTAGCCCTCAGCTGTAGCTGGACATGCTCTTTTTTAACATTACTACTTCTGCCCAGGAGCACAAGTCTTGTACCAGTTGACCACAGAAGCCTGACCGTAAACACCAAACAAGAACTACTTGCTCAGCTAAACCATGATCAGGACAAACAAATGTGTGCAACAGCAGTGGATGGAGCAAGATTAGAAACTCACTCTCATGCAGCATAAACATTTCTAAGGATGCCTCTCCCCTCTGCACCAAACATACAGAGCATCTTCAAGTATGTTAAAGCATTTTCATCTCTGTCCCAGCAGTCCCCCAAAGCCAACTCTGCTCTTGCTGGCCTCCCTCTAGGCTCCCAGAGAGCACAAGATGAATATTTTGAAATGGGAAGATGCCACTGACTGTTACCTAAGTCATGCAGCACTGTGCCCTCCAGAAACAAAAGCAGCTCAACAAAATCACCCTTTTGTTCTGTGAAGGGATATGAGCCATTCTAATAAATAAATAAAATATATATACACACACACACACAAAGAGGGCAAGTTGTGCATATGGCACTCCTTCTCACTCCCATGGTTCCTCCAGTGTCTTGCCTTAAATCCAAAACATATCTTTAAGTGAAATCCTCCAAACAAATCTGGGAACAAACCAAGGGGCCAGGAACCCATCACTGTGCTCCAGTTCCACTTCCAGGGGTTCTCTGAGGGAGGAGAAGAAATGGCCATATCCCCTTCTTCTTTTTTTTTTTTTTTTGTAAACAGAATTACAATAAAAAGCACTTGCAACAGTTTCATCTCCCACCCAGGGTGCTACTTTAGACACAAGTGAGAAAAAAAAAAGCCATGAGAAAAGGCTGGGAGGGAGGAAGAATATGAAATTACTCAACCTTTTGGTCAGATTATATATGTCTGTGTGTGAGTGTGTATGTGCATGTATACACAACACATACTCACACACCTGTGTGTGTATACACACACACACACACACTTATATGTGTATATAGAATTTCTTTCTTTCTCTCCCTCCCTCCCTCCCTCTCCCCATCCGAGGGGCTGTGGGGGGAGCCCCGGCAGCCGGCCCGGCGGTGCGCAGCCCCGTGCCC